ATTTTTCAACGACAGTTCTTCAGAGGTAGCCATTATTAAAGATTTGGTATATATTATGCCAGACTTCTTTTTTTAAAAAAGTGCTCATACAAACAAACATTGACTCTCTCTCCCTCTCCTTCCCTTTTTGTTAGTGGGTTATGTTTGGTTTGGTTTGGTTTTAAACACATAAAGGAATCAAACATTCTCAGCAACCTCCTTTTTTCTACTTAAGCTGGGGACATCTTCCCACATAAGTGAGTCTAGATTTACCTTGTCGCTTTTGATGCTGTCTGTTGTATGGATGTCTCATCATTTAACTATTCCCCTCTACTGACTCTTAGGATGTTTTGCTGTTATAAATTGTGTGTTGCACATCATTTCGTCTAACTTCGTAAGTATGTGATGCCATATGCATGAGAACAGCAGTGTAGCCAAAGGGTACACATTTAAAATTTTTACACCTGTTTCCAAATTACTCTCCAAGGGATATTGTTTACTGATGTATACTCTGATTTTTATTTTCGTCTGTTTGACATTTTTAAAGGTTTACTTTCAAAACACTTTCTATTAGAATGAAGGAAAAAAAACACATTGAAGAGTTTTCTTTACAAGTTTTGTCATGGGATTTAAAATTCCTTTCAGATAATCTTTTTTATTCTAATCATTTGTGCATGTGTCCTTGTTGTACTGACTTTGTTATTTCTGATTCCTTCCCATTTATGGCCACTTAACAGTTCTGCTTCTTGGGTTTTCCTGCTGTAGGTGGGATGAATTGTGCTGTTTGGAGCCTTGTCTGCCCTGTGTACTACAGCAAAGCTGGGCCACTTCCACCTGAGAGTATAGACCCGGGACTGTCACTTTTGAACTGAAATTGGTTACTTTAGTAGGTTCACCTCCTCTATCCCAGCATCCTGACAGCTGTCAAGAGCTCATCTGTTTTGTTCACTATTTAACAAATTCACCAAAGAACTTGATACTCCTACTTCTTACTCCACAAAGGAGGTTCAAAGCAAGCCTTGAGCAGCCCTGGGGAGAATAAAAGGGAACAGAGAAGTCTGGTAGTTTTTCTGCAATGCCTTGGCTATCACTTTGGCTATAATTAGTTGTTGTTCTTACAGAAATGAGAAGAAAACACTGTTGCTGGAAGCATTTGAGATTTTTTTTTTTTTTTTTAAACTTGGTTAGTTGTAATGTGATAATACTTTACGGGAATAAACTCTGGCTGACCCATTCAAAGGATATAAGCTTGAAAACATTTAGGGTTTTGATTTGTTCAAAGGAGGTGTTTATGTGTTTTGAAGCACGAATTCAGTGGGAAAATAGGTTTTCTGGTGCTTACCATGTGTAAGTGTAAGGAGCATGTCTTTCAAGTCTAGTTCTCATCTCAAAAGAAATAACTGTCTTCATGAGACCAGGTTCAAGAGGGATAGATAAAGCTATGGAAGCTTCAGAGTGAAAAAGTGGAATATAAATTGTCCTTTTCCTTTCTTGTTTGGAAACCTTAAATCCCAAAACTACTTTCCTCCCTGAATTAGCTGGCCCTCAAATCCCACTTGGCTCCACCATTTTCCATCCTGTGTGCCACTATGTTGTATCCTTCAGGGTCTGTCTGGGCAGAGCTTGTCTGGATCAGTCCTGTCTTCTGTGGCCATTTGAACTGCAGGCGAAAGAGGGACTGATTGAAGATGAGCAAGATGCATGTTTATTGGTACGGAAACACATCCCAAATGTATGAAACTATCAGGTTATAACAGCACGCATTCTCCATTTTTGTTTTTTAAGAAAGTGAATGCTTACGTTCCTACATTTATATACACATAGATGGAAAGGACTTAAATGAATGTGGGTTAGGTTTCTTATGATTTGAGGTGACTTTAACCTATTGATAATTTTTAGAAGTCCCTGAAATTTTTTTTTTAAATTTTTTATTTTGAGACAAGGTCTTACGCTGTCACCTGGGCTAGAGTGCAGTGGCACCATCGTAGCTCACTGCGGCCTCGAGCTCATGGGCTGAAGTGATCCTCCTGCCTCAGCCTCCTGAGTAGCTGGGGCTACAGGCAAGTGCCACCATGCCTGGCTAATTATTTAGTTGGTTAGGGATAGGAGAAAAAGAAAATAAAAACACTTGATTTGTTTGGGATGGAAAAAGGTGGATCATCCATCTATAGGAACACATGAGATTTGCAAAAGCATCTGTAAATGAAAGGACAATAGTGGAAATGTCTGCCTATGACAATCTGACTAGGAATGAAGTCCCATTTTTCTTTGGAGTTTGGTCTGTCATGGGCTCTGAATGGTCACTCAAGACATCACCCGTGGGATCAAAGCTTGGGTAAAATAGACTCAAAACTCAGTTTCAGTAATTCAAATTGTCTACTGCGAAAGTTGATTATGCATCAAGTGCCTTTCCAAAGCAGTGACAGTTACCCTGCGGCCACTGCAGCTGACTACCGCGTAATTCTTACTATCACACTTAGGATAAAAGGAGGTCCAGCAGTCGACCTCTGTTTTTAATACTCCTCTTCTATCATCTCTTTGCTGTGTACGTGACGTTTCTAAAAGAGTAGATGGAAGTTTGTGCCTGTGTCCTATAGATCCTTCATATTTAGAGAGATTCAGTTTGGCTCCAGCTAAAGATATCTTGGAGTAGACAATTCACAAAGAATTCTAAGAATTTTTTCAAGAATTATAGAAACTCTGTAGAACTCTAAACTCAACAGAACTTCAGAGTTTTGGTTCCTAAACAAGGAGTACAATTGATCAAAGTTGATTGCGTTCAATTGAGATATTAGGATGACATTTTCATGTTCCCCATTTAGTTTGCCATATCATGGTGTGTATGTCAACATTTTTTAGACTCATTGAGTTGCCCTGTAGCCCAGTGTAATATGTGATTCCTGCTCTCCTACTTGGCTCTTCTCCACATTGTTAATCAAATCTAAGTCTAACCTGTGCACACAAACCAATGATATTTACTTAAAATCCTCTGACATTTTTGCTGATGGTCTTTTTGGAGACACTGCCCTGACCCCCTGCTTTTGTCTTTAGGTTTCATTTAAAATTCCTATCTTTCATATTTTGGTAAGAGAAGACTTTAAGTGGAAATGTAATCTGAGTATTCTGTTTAATAAATGGACTCAGCATGGGCATTTTGCAGCCAGCTCTTCCATCTGTAGTGTAAGTGAAGTGCAGTATTATTGCAGGAGGAAACTCATGCAGTTGAAGGACAGCCTCGCTGGGAGCAGGGGACAGCCAGGTGCAATCAATTTAGCACAACTCAAAGCTTCTGGATTGACTGTCTTGACCCACTGTCCCTTCAGGACTATGATCTAAGTCATTGGTTTGGCCAGAGTCTTCGGTTGGCCAGTAGCAGGACAGACTGCTGTCAAATGGAGCGTGAGCCTTGAGATTCCCCTGTAGCAGGTAGGACTGGTACTGTGGAATACTCTTTAAGTCATTTTACATTTGTGTGAAGTAACAGGTCCTTCAAAACCTGGTGCCGAGGCTGGATGAGGGTGGGAAACCAAACAAACAAACAAACAACACGTGGTGCCTGTCTTTATACTGAAGGTCTTAAACAGTTCACAGCATTGTGGAAAAACCCTGGAAGTAGTTGGTGGTAAGACGTGTCCTTGGGCCCTGGGGACCCCCATTGCTGAGCTGCGGGACGTGTGGCAAGACACTGGCCTACCCCAGTGCAGTCGGTGTCCTTACCTATAACATGGAAGTAACAGCAGCTGCCTAAGCGGGTTTTAATATAAACGAGCAATGTGTGCAAACTACAAAGCATTATCAAAGTCTTTAGGTTCCTAAGAGTTATGGTGCCATTTTTATTTGGCTTAAAACATTGAACTTATATTCTCAGGATTAAAAAAAATGACCAAGGGCATGACTACATGCCTGCTGTTTTTTGAAATTGATGACATCAACTGTGTAGGCCATCCTACGGGGAGGATTGCAAATGACCATTTTAGTAATGTTTTTAAGGAAAAAACAATAACCCCATTACGCTGGGCTCTGGGCACCCTGGCCTTGCACCGCAGGCCCCCTGACTCACACCCTGTCCTCACACAGCCCCTGCCTGTGGAACTGAAGCCTCAGCTTTACTTTCACCTCAGAGAAGCCCCAGACACCCCAGCCCAGGTTTGGGCTCTGTTCATTGTCATTTGCTCTCTGTGTGCCTCCTTCATGACAGTTTCCACAGCTGCAGTTTAGTAATGATTTGTTTAAATGTCTTCCTTCTAACCTGAGAAGAACACATTGTCACTTGTGCGTTGCAGTCAAATAGCATGATCTGCATCTAATCACAAGGAAACATTCTTCATTATTTTAAAGTAAAAAGTGCGTTTTAAAAGTCTGCCTTCCATGGTAGTTTGTAAGCTCAAAGTGGTACGGACCACACCTGACTTATTCATTGTTATACCTGAAATGGGCCTGGAAAGGTGAGTGTGTATATCCTGCGTGGTGTTCAGATATATGAATGAATGAGTGGATCACTGACTTGTGCGCACACGTACCCAGATACAAGGCCTCTTGTAAGGTAGCTGCATAGTGCAGACGAATCCAAGACTTAGTGTCCTGGCCGGGTGCGGTATCTCACACCTGCAGTCCTAGCACTCTAGAAGGCTGAGGCAGGAGGATCACTTGAGGTCAGGAGTTCGAGACCAGCAAGAGCAAGACCCCATCTCTACTAAAAATAGAAAAATCAGCTGGCGCAGTGGTGCACGCTTGTAGTCCCAGCTACTTGGGAGGCTGAAGCAGGAGGATCCTTTGAGCCCAACAGTTGGAGGTTGTAGTGAGCTATGATGACACCACTGTACTCTGGCCGGGGCAACAGAGCAAGACTCTGTCTCAAAAAAAAAAAAAAAATCTTAGTGTCTTTATTGTTATTGAACCTCTGTTTCTCTGTATTTTTCCTTTCAATGGTTTATATTGTGCAAGTTGTGGAAGTTGATGTATTATGTCTAACTTGGTTGTGAGAACCGAAATTAAGTTTCCATGCTTTGTTTTCCCCATAGCTCCTACAGAAGAATGGTCAGCTGTCCACCGTCAATGGCTTAACTGAGCCAGGAGAGCCCAGCCTCCAGGAAGAAGCCCTGAATGGCCAGGAAGAAGAAGTCATTGTCCTAGATGGTAAGCCACCCTTCTAGCCTCTGGGAAGGATACCAGGTGCTGGAGGGCAAATAGCACTTGCAACAAATCTCACCAGAGAACTCACCAGAAAATAGCCTGTCATACTGCCTGGTAGTGGGTGAGGTTAACAGCAAAACCAATCAGTTGGTCACAGAAGGAAGTATTTATCTGACTATTTGGGTAGACCCTATACTTAGGTCTTGAAGTTATGTTTCCTCTTTCTTAGACATCCTTATCTGAAATTTAATAGTAATAATAATTTTAAAATTATTATTGCTTTGTCTGGTGTTGAATGTGAATTCTTTTTGGAAATACTGAAGTATGGAATCTCTGATAAAAAAGAAAAAAGTATCTCTCACTCTGGAGAAAAGCCTGCTAGACTTGAACACATTTTTCTGATAGGTGCATTGCAAGGTGCACACCTTCCTCTGTCTAAACTATGACTGTTGCATTTTTATAGCTCTTGAGCCCAGAGCTCCTGGAGGGATGGTTATCGGAGTGACTCTCACCACAGTATCAGCATTTGATTTTAGCTGATTTTATGGGGTGGGAAACCATACTTTGGGGTCAGGATTGAGCATGGTGACCAGTAAGTCTCTTGTGAGAAGTGAAAGGCTACATGTTGAAGAAGAATCTTTTGCTCTGAGTTCTCGTTTCATCGTTCCCATGTGATCATAAATGAACGGATAATTAATACCCACTATCAAAGATATATAAAATATGATGTGGCATACAGTAACTGGACTGTCATGTGTGGTATGAATAAGAGAGACAAATGAAGGGGAAAGTTCTGTGACAGGAGATTGGACTGCCTGGGTTAGATGAGATTCTTTGAACATGTGGAACATGTTTCTCTTCTTGTTCGATGCCCCCACAGAGCTACTTCAAGCAGGGAGCTGCTTTTGAAGTTAGTGGGGATACTGATCTGTATATAGCACCACAGGCGCAATAAAAGTTAGAAATATACACAGTCTCACAGACAGAGTATTCACATGACCTAATGTGAGAGTTTCAAATAATTTCCACCAAAATAATTGGCATGGACCCAACGCAAATTCCCAAGTCCAGTGCTTTGTCCTTCCTTTCCCTGTTGACTTTTGAATCAAATTAAGCAACAGCAATTTGTGAGCTTCTGTGGCTGTCAGTAAAGTTAAGACACAAGGGAACTTGGCAATTACCTAATGAACTTTGCAAGAGATGAGAGCTGTTCAGAGCTCAGGTGAAGTAATGACTTGAGGTTGGAGGGGTGAGTAGGGTAAAATAGGGGGCTGTGGGGAGGCTGGATTCAGATATGACTAAATCCAGTGAGCAAAAGTAAGGAGAATTATAACAGCCAGCATTTCATAGCTTTTACTCTGAGGCCTGGAACTGTGTCTTTTGTTCCCTGTCACCTTTTATATTTACTGCAACCTGTGAGGTAGGTCATATTATTCCCCAGATTCAAATCTAGATTGGTGGATTCCAAAGCCTGACTCCTCAACCACTGTGCTGTCACTGCACAGGCATGTCCAGAGGCTGGTTTGTTGGAAAAGCGTAGTCCCAGCGAAGAACTTGTATTGAAGGGTGTAGAATGAAAGCCCAGAATGGAAAACTGGGGCTGGATAATAGGGCTCTGAAAGCGGAGTGTAGTCTAGAAAGTATTTAGTGGACAAAGTAAGATGACTGAAATAAGTCTCCAAGGGAGTGCCAGGGCTGGGCGGGGCTTCTTATCTGACTTAGCTGATATGTAGGATGGATAAGAGGAGGGAGGGATGGAGCAGGGACGTTAACAGATGCCTAAACTTCCATATAATCCCAAATAGCATGGAAATCCCTTTGAATCTGGTGGCTTGTTTACTGGAGGTCTATCTTGCTTTAGTCCAGATGTGATTTCTTTTGCATTTCAGCCACATGGGTAAGTAAGCACTGATTTTTGTAGAAAGCAATCCTGTCCCCACCCTGTTTCTATTCCATTGTCTCCCAGGCTTCTGACCCTGGCCTTGGGGTCTGAGCAAATACCAGTTGCCTCATGCATGAAGAGTGGTAATTAATATGCTTTGTCCTTCAAAAGATAGTGAAAAGGCATTGTCCTGTAGACAAGGAGGAGCTGGATTTTCTCCCGTGTGGCCCTTGGCTTATTAGGGTCTCTAAGGCAACTTGGTAAAACTCGTTTTGTTTTTTTCTTTCTCTATTTTGTTTGCCTGGCAGACAATAATTAATAGCCTGGGAATGTAAATACAGATGGAATCTTCATGTTAAATTATTAAACAGTATTTTTTCATGCTTTGCTTTTTGACATCAGTGATATCTTATGGCT